CGTACGGCGTTCCGAACCGTTCCGAACAAAAACGAAGTTACACGATGCACACATACATACTGCCGCTACGCTGTGTGTGCCGCTCGACGTTTGCCGAGAAATCAGCAAGTACCTACAAACTCGTACTATATTATTAGGCGCTCGCTTTATATTGTACCTCTATGGCTCTCATGAGTAAAGAAACCGACCAGAAGGGAAGCTACATACAAACGGCTCGCTGCGAATACACCCACACATAGCGCAGCGATGTGTGCCTGAGCTCTCACCGACAGGTTCACCGACGCTCCGTCGCGTCGGGGTACAAACCGGTTTGCGCCGGCTCAGTCAGAGTGTCCATGAAAGGGCTGTTAGTCGTGCGCATTTAAATAAATATACCAACAATATTTCGAAATTTTATACATCAATTAATTTATTAAGTTTTTTTTTGCAACTATTAAATAATTAGATTTAAGTATTTAATAAAAATAATTAGGAATTAAGTTATTATAAATATGTATATAGGTAAATAATAAGTGTTCTGTATAAGCAAAAATGCCTAATAGTTGTACAGTATGCATGATTATAATTCTAGAGAAAATAAGGATATTTCTCTTTTTTTTGTACCCGAGAGATCAAGTGAAGTAAGTACCTTTTTACGTATTATATACAATAAAACTAGGTAATAACATTGATAAGTAAGTGAGAATGTGCTAGACAGGTACGTCGCCGAGTGATGAAGTCGGTATCACCTACTTGAAAAGTTAGTCAGTCTAACCTGGACAGTGTCGTGGAAGGCAGCATATCCTACGTAATAAGGCTAAATGTGTGACTTTATCCACACACTTTAGTATAGAGGTAGGTTGCTTCCTGGGGAAGGATATAAGCTACTTTTTTTGAGTTACGACCGCAGGGGCATTATGGTTGGAATACAATCGCCAGACATTTGTGGTGGTGGGGGTGCTGATGGTGTCAGTGGTGGTGGATGTGGTAGTATCGTAGGTAGTGGTAGTAGGCAGTGGACCAACAGTGGCTCCATCAACACCACCACCATCACCACCATTACTGTTGTACGCATGTTATTTTATACACTATATAATACTTTAATTTTTCCTTATTGTTTAAAATTAATCGATGCGAAACAGCTCTTGATTTCGAACAATTAATAGATATGTTGTTACATTAACATAAGTTATAAGTAATACACATGTTGTCTTATGCTATACAATATTTTTTTTATTCCTTAAAGTTTTCACATGCATCATGTGACAACCCTATCAGAATAGGTATACATTTTCGACGTTGTTAATAAGCTTCCCCTCTGGTGCTTACTCTTTACTCTGTGCTTGAACAGTCATCGCAGTTTATATACGTACTAGCTGTTGCCAGCGGTTACGCCCGCGTGTAACTCGAAAAATATCCCACAGGGACGTAATACCTGTATAAACGGTATCATCTGTGTTATTCCAGACTATAAACTAACTCTGAGCTAAATAGGTATCATCAGGATCCCTTCAGCCGTTCTGGCGTGATTGAGTAACAAACATCCATTCATCCAAACATCCAAACTTTCGCACTTATAATATTTAGATAATAATTGTAATTAGTTCTGCCTACCTATAAATTGTTTTCAAAATTACTTACCAGTCTTCTTACTTTTTTTATATATACTCAATATCACTAAATTGTAAACATGTTTTTATCAAGACAAGGGACCCATCAAGACTGTTTTCATAGTACTGACGTACCTACCTAAAGTTTACATTTTAGTGTCCACGACGCAGCGACGGTTTGTGACATTTTTGTTGTATCGTAGGTACCAAGGTAATTATAACAGTAGGTACCTATGATAATCCCACATATACCTACTTTGTTCGCCGCAAAAGTCGTCGAATAAATAAAATTAAACTGTTTTGTGAATCTTTATTGATTATTTATTTCCTTTATACCATTTTCATTGAGAGCCGTGGTAGCTCAGTACGAGAGCAACCCGGTTTCGATCCCCGCCGGCACCAATGAAATTGATTGCTTTACTGCATGTGTGAGAAATAAGAAAAAATATTTCGAAGACGTGAAGTTCACCAATGCGCATTGGGGCAGCGTGGCGGACATTTCCTTGCCCTAAAACACTTTCAGAAATGAGAGGAGGCCTGTGCCCAGCAGTGAGACGTAAATAGGCCGTAACTTTAACATTTTCATACATATTTATTACATTTTTAATTATTTTTATAAAACGTTAAATAACTTAAAACATTTTTTTGTCACTAAATTATAATTATTGAATTAATAACACAGTTACTGACATTGTTTCTTTTTACGTCTGCGGTTTGTAATTACCGCCACTATAGCTCAAAATAAATTATTCCTAATTCACAGAAAAATAGGTGTTTATAAAACAATTTACACACGTCTGTCATATAGGTAATGAAACAAACTTTTTGTTTTTAGATATCAGTTGGAAAGTCTGTTTTTCTGGGCTGTTTTGTTTTGTTAGACTGACATCTCGCAGGTCAACCTAGGAGGTTGTCGGCTGCTTATTTATTTTTATTTAAAATTTTCATCAGTAATATAATATATTCGAATAGAAATCAAATTGACATAAGTAAGTATAGATAAAATTATCGGAACATTAATAAAATTTAGAGATCGTTTTTTTTTCTAAATTTTATTTATATTCCGCTAATTTTGTCTATGCTTATGTCAATTTGATTTACATTCGATCTCTAAATTGTAGTTTGCGAGAGTAACGCGGATCTATCAGCTCCGGCAAAACACATTTCTGATAAAAGGTATCTAATTTTAAAATTTTGTCTGTCGTCCAAAACGCATCAGCTCTTTAAATTATATCAATTTCTTTGCCATTTGGCGTCCAAATAACAAAATACATAGCAAAACTTTCGTTTTGTTATCATTAGTTGGCCGTGAGCCAACGACATAGGCCGCAGCCATAATTCGATGGCCGCAGCAGTGCAGACTGAGTCGAATAAAACTTGAATAAGCGCGCGTCACCGTGCGTGCATGTGCGTGAGCATCGTCCTCCCGCACCGCACCGGGGGAAACATTATTCAGTGCGATGCGCGATAGTTGATAGTAAAACGCGCGCGTAAAAAATACAAAAAGGTCTTTGGAAAATCTAGTTTTATGAAAAAAAAACTGCATAAATCAGTTACAAATAAAATTTATTGAATTCTTCGATAATTGAGCTTTGTCGGTACCGACGTTGTTTTGGGAATTTAACACTTATTTTATTACTAATTTACGCCCAAAGTTGTGTTAAAATTGGCAATAAAAACGGAGCTTTGGTAGCTAGTAACTTTTTAATGGCTTTTTATTTTACTATTCTGTTTCCGCACAGACAAAATTAATAATGAGACAAAACGATATCATGTTTAACTTTGGATGTACAGTACCAAACAGCGGAGTAATACCCTCCCGAAATTTCTATGGAAAAAATGTCGACTAGTGTAACTTTCAGCTGAACCCACATTTATCTGCACCGTACGCATTACGCACCGTACGCGCCGAATTTCATAAAATGCGGTAGGTATCCGAATATTGAAGGACGCCTGCTGATGACGTCGTATGACGCGGCGCGTTTGGCACGTGCTGATACTCAGTGTTGTCTAATGTTGTAGCAAAAAGTAAGTAACATGTAAGACTTTAAAGCAGTGGTCTTACATACGTGTAATAAAGGGCTGCGACTGTGTGTGCTGGAACAGTTAGAGATATTAAAAAGTAATAATAGTACCGTTGCACTGCTGAATGAACAAACAAATGTTACTAACTTACCTCTCTTAAATATCTTTAAGCCTGCTCTTCAATAATAGAGATCCTCGCAATATGGTCGTTTGTCACTCTCACGCTGATCGGCGATTGGTTGCGTGGTTGGAGGGTAGGCGGGCGTTGCGCGGGAATTTGTTTTAATTTTACAAACGGCTGCGTAAGTCCGGCGGTGATTGGTCGCATGTTTTATCGTATGACGCAGTCGCTCGCTCCTTAAGTAGAGAGCGGTTGCGTCATCGGTCTGTATAAAAGGCAGTTGTTTTGGCTCGCCGCTCACTTAGCGGTTAGCCACCGTAGTCTATATCACCTGAGGATGCCTCGTGTAGAGGCGAAACACGTGTCGTATTGTCGCCAGTGGTGTGTCTTGCCTAGTGTAGTGGTGTTGGGAGTAGTGGTGCTAGGATTAGTGGTGACGGGGATAGTGCACGCAGTTGAGGGAGGGCGGGAGGTGCTCTTTATACTAGGTAAGACACATCATTTTATTTTATAACGCGGATATTTGCGAAGTAAATTTTTCTAAAAGCTTTTATATAATGGATTTCCGCAAAGTAACGCCAGTCTTTTTTCTGGTTCAATTGGCCTTCTAAATCTTGAGTTTTCCATAGAAAGATATGGTTTTAGTATATGTAGCAATTCTTAAAATTTCTTGTATTTTAAATGCAAATATCTAAAAAATCGTTCATCATCATCTAATAAGTCTTTAAATAAAGTATATTATCCCCTTCATTTTCTCCATACAATTGCTTTTTTAAATTAATATTATGAATCCAGAATCATCTTTATCTTCGAATTTTATTTTCTTCTTCCTCTGCCAATAAGCAGGCTATTACTATATTTCTTTCCATAGTGATTTTGGGCGATCAATTTCACTGTACCGTTTTATACCAGTGGTTTGAAAAAACTACAAAAGTTGTTGGTAATACAAAAGATTTGCGTACGGTGCGGACGATGCGTACGGGCAAATGTGCGAGGCCATCAGTAAAACTCGGCGCGTACGGCGCGTACGATGCGTACGGTGCGAACAAATGTGCGTTCAGGTTAATGTTGCCAACTTAGTGGATTTTCGCGGACAGTGCGTATGTGCAAATGCGCGTTCAGCTTTATTGCTACAAAACATTTTATTCTAGACAGACAACCCACAAAACTAATTATTGTTTATTTGTTGTTGTGCTGTTGTGAACAAGTGTTAAATAAAATGTTAAAAAAAATCTTTGTTTAAAAATACGCGATGGGTGGCTCACCTTTAAGCACGATAGGTGTCCGTTTGCTTGTTTCAGGTACTGCGCTATGACTCCGCTCGGTAGAGGGCACTGCTCGTCTCTGATATGCACCACGCTCACTAGCGCCACCTGCAATTGACTAATATGTAATATGCGTCGACATGTGACAAATAAGATTAGCCGGGACAGACAAAAATTTCATAAATGGTTGTTTTTCTTAAGCCGGCGCCAGATATAGCAACAACATTTGAACACTTATTTGAAGGACTTTGCACACTTGTTTGAACACTTATTGACACAACCGGCCAGATATGCTTTGCAAACACATCTCTCCTCCACAGTACGTTGTAAAACGATAAAGAAGATGGACGACGTTTTGTGTATGCAGTGTGCCCGTATTATTTAAGTGCATGTCATTATTTATTACATGTGCAAAAACAGTACAATAAAATATTTAAATACAAGAATATCTATTTCATTCATAAGTACTAGTCTGTCATCTTCATCCAAGGGTTTTAACTTTTCAGATAAAAACTGACTATACAAATCACATTCATTCGATTGTTATTTACTGTCTTTATGATTGGACCTATTTTTAAAACGTACTGCGTACTACCGTCTCGCTCAACAACGTTCGCGTCACTGAACTTTGCGCAAGTGTGGCAGGCCACGCAAACATTTCAACACTGTTGACTTTGAACGCTTTGATGTGCGCTAAAAAATCGAGACCGCTTGGCAAAGTGCATTTCTTTGCACACTTATTTGAACATTGATTTAAAGTCCCGTGACCCGTGCCACACATAGCTTAAAACAAGTGTTTAAATGTTTAAAGCTGTATCTGGCGCCGGCTTTACAGTATGCAAACAACCATTGCAGATCAATTCGTGCTACAACCGTAATATAGCTGCAACGTGACTCTACCACGTTTAAAATTTGTGAATTGATTATATGAGTGGTTAGGTGCATACAAAATCTGTATGATGAATTTACTTTGGAATGCAACCTGTTCTTTTTTTTTATAGGATAAGGGTGACAAACGAGCATACAGTTCACCTGATGGTAAGTGGTTGCTGCGGCCCATAGACATCTACATCTATCCTCGTTTGCGAATGAAAATGCAGACGCGTTGCCACCCGTGAGGACTAAGATGGAATGCCTCATTTCCAGTAAAAAGGGCCTCCGGCCACCTGCACTCACCAAGCGAAACACAGAGGTAAACCTCTACTTCACGCTGGTATTCTGTGAGGTCGTGGTACCACCTCGGTTCGAGCCGGCCCATCCGTGCGACAGCAAAAGCTGCCGCGTGGCTCTACCACTGTACAAGTTCTAGTCTGTTCTAGACTTCTGAAAGCCTGCAATGATAACAGTGGGTTGAATAGGTAGAGGAGTAATGTAGCTTAAAGTAGCTTAGCGTACTGTGTCATCAGGCCTCAATTCGGCGGTGTCCCTTTGATCTCTCGCCAACACCACCACTAGCGGGTAGCAACTGCGGGGCGGAGCGCCCAACGCTGGTGGCTTATCCGTCGACAGGTGGAGCGGACGCTCTTCGTGAGGACCAGATCTATAATGAAAATGGAAATAGAAACTTTTTATTTAATATAGATTATAAATAATATTTATTGAGTCATTCATAAGTTTATATTGAAAGAACTAGCAAGAAACGTAGCGGGTCTTCACTCATGTCTTCGAAATATTTTTTTATTAGTTCTCAGATATTCAGGTTTCTTCACGATATTTTCCTTCACCGCCGAGCACGTGGTAAATCAGCACTTAAAATTGCAATTAACAAATTAATTGGTGCCAGCGGGGATCGATCCCGGGTTGCTCGCATACTGTGAAACTTACAGCGAGCGCTTAGACCCTGAGCTACCACGGCTCCAGGAGTTGTTATCATCCATAAATTCTTAAATATTATAATAATATCTAATAACTGTTTAATAAATTTTTAAACTTGGCGGAGCACAAATTTTGTATATTTTGTGGGATCTTGTTGTAACAGCCAAAAAATTAATAGATTATTTCAATAATTGATTATTCTACACATGTATTTATAATATTGGCTTTGAAACTATAATTCGTAAGTGCATCATCATCATTCATCATTACAGGCATTCACAAGTCCCCTGATGAACATGGGCCTCTCCCAAGGAATGCCATAAAGCACGGTCTTGAGCCACTTGCATCCATCGACTTCCTGCATGTCTTATCAGGTCGTCACTCCATCTAGTGGAGGGTCGCCCTACACTTCGCCTGCCGGTACGAGGCTGCCACTCGAGAACCTTTTTTTCCCCATCGATTGTCGGTTCTTCGAGATATATGACAGTTAGCTAGAACAGCGCGGTCGAGTAATTCCTGCAAAACCCCGACAAAATGAGGCGAGGCCTGTGCCCAGCAGTGAGACTGGTATATAGGATGTAACTTTTGTTATACAATATAGGTGGCAAGCGACCACGCAGTCCACCTGATGGTAAGTGGTTGCTGTGGCCCATAGACATCTACATCTATCTTCGATTACGAATCAAAATGCAGATGCGTTGTCACCCGTGAGGACTAAGATGGAATGCCTCGTTTCCAGTTAAAAGGGTCTCCGGTTCTCTGCACTCACCATACGAAACACAGCAGCATTGAGCTGCTATTTGAAGCTGGTATTCTGTGAGAGCGTGGTCCTTCCCCGGTCGAACCGACCCGATCATGCTACCATAATATAGCTGTAACGTAGCTCTGTCACGGAAAAACCATAAACAAACCATTTTTTTTATTTATATTTAAATACTTTGGTACTAAGTGGTCTTAGCTCCGAGGGTTCGATTAAAAGGTCAAATGAGATAAATAGTTCCTATAGAATAACATGACCAGGGTCAAAGAGCGTCGCTACTGCAAGGTCACAGTCACAAGTCACACGAGACTTCGTCGAGCAATTAAGTATTAATCGTGAGGTCTCGCACGTGTCGCATTCTTCAGGCCGGTGAAAGGCATGCATGGTAAAGGCCCGAGTGTTGTCTCGACAACATATCGACAAATTTATCGATATTTTAATTTTGAACAGATACTTAACATTAACACTTCTTAAAGATGTTAAAATTAATTAGCTAAGATACTTTCTTCAAAGTAGGTAAGACACATTATTTTAATTTTATATGCGAATCATATTTAAATAATACTAAATAGAATAGAATGGGCATCATTTTTACTCAATATAGATTATAAGTATACTTATTGAAAGTAATTTATACTTTTACCACTTGTTCGGAAAAAACCTGTCTCCTGGGAGAAACCAACAAGAAACATATCCAGTAGAACTTTTGTTATACATTTATTTAAAATAAAACATGTTGTACAAATAAATTTAAAAACATTTAGAAATCGCATGGTAGCGATCACCTGATTGAGTTATTAATAATCATGTACTGTTTAATAGTATAATAACTAATTAAACAACTTGTGCTTGGTAAAAATTTTAAACGTTTGATAAATAGAACATGTAACAAAGGGCTTTTTTACATGTAGTAACATCTTAAATGTATAGGATTTCCGCGAAGTAAATCGCGAAGAACACCTGATTATATTAATTAAATTAACACTTCTTTCGAACATAACAATTTCGCAATTAAATTTAATAAAGAATTGAAAAGAATTGAATTATGAAGTTAAAATAATTTAATATAACAAGAAGATAGATTTTCTCCATAAATTAAGTTTGTACATTCACACAATTTCATGCTTGAATCCGGTTTATTGTCGACGAATAAAGAGTGCATTTACCGTCAGTGACGTTTCAGTTTGTTAAAAGTACAGAGATAATCGCTTCAAAAATAATAATATAATAGTTAACATAGATATTCTTAAATAATGACAAAGAGGTTACTGGCACATCACTAGGCAATCAATAATTGTAAAGTCCTCCAACGTGTTCTGCATTTCGTTTTTGGTACATGGTGAAACAAAGGAAATATTTTCTTTTACTTTTTTTATTTGACAAAATGCCAAATTTATGACGTTACTTTAAGTGGTAAATAAGATTTATTCACGAAGTCGAGTTAATAACGAAAATCCTTACGCGTTTGCGATTTTTTTATAGTATAGGTTGACAACCGAGCACACAGTTCACCTGATGGTAAGTGGTTGCTGTGGCCCATAGACATATACATGTATCCTCAATTACGAATCGAAATGCATAATATGCGTTGTCACCCGTGAGGACTAAGATGGAATGCCTCGTTTCCAGTAAAAAGGGTCTCCGGTTCTCTGCACTCACCATACGAAACACAGCAGCTTTAAGCTGCTATTTTACGCTGGTATTCTGTGAGACTGTGGTCCTTCAACGGTCGAGCCGACCCATTCGTGCCACAAATATACTAGTAATATAGCTGCAGCATGGCTCTACCGGATTCGATGCCCGTAGACACCAATGAAATTGTTAATTGCAATTTTAAGTACTGATTTACATCGTGCTAGGCGGTGAAGGAAAACATCCTGAGGTGACCAGCATGTCTGAGAAATAAGAAAAAAAAATATTTCGAAGCGATGTTAAGTTCGCCAACACGCATTGGGACGTATATAGTCTGTAACTTTATGACTCTACCAAGTAAAAAAATAAATTTTCTTCTTTAATAAAATGAATATATTAGATTAGGATCTAGGCCACACTTATTTCTGCTCCTTAGAATCATCCCACGAGTGTCTAAAGATTGTAGTTAAGGTGACAAGGTATTGTGAAACAGGAGACGGGCAGCAGAATGTTCTTGATCACAACTCAATAATAATAAAAAAATCCCCTATATTAGGCAATTTATAGGGATACTATGTTCAGCTGTGGTCGTTGGATGGACTTTAGTGAAAGAATGAAAGCAGCCGTGAGCACAGTGTTGTGTTTCGATTTGAACAATTAGCGTCACAATAATTAGATGATTTGACGAAATGGTTTTTAATCGTCAAAAGTGATAACTGTAGTTTTCTTTATTTTAATTTGATATCGCAGGCACAGATTAACTAAAAGTTCCTACGTACGTGTTGCAGATGTCGACGGTCTACAGTCGCATCTTAGGATCCTTTCACACAGACCGGCTCAGAGAGGAGAGCAAATTTTGATCGCGAATATCTGCCGACTTCCAAAAAGTAGACGGTACTTAATTCGACTGTATGTTTTTTTTATGTGAGTTACCTCATAACTTTTTACTGGGTGAACAGATTTCGATGATTCTTTTTTTATTTGAAAGCTGGTTCTTCACATGTGGTCCCATAGAAATTTGACCAAGGTGAGACCAATAGTTTTTGAGTTATTCTTTATAACTTATATTGAAGTCTTGAAGAATTTAGAAAATACATATTAGCAACCCTCTTTACCTGTCGGTAAATTCCCCAGTTTATGTCAAAATAGCACTATCCTTTTTTTACATTACAAAAACGTATTTAGACATCTTTGTTTGGTTATGCTAAGCCTACCTTTGAAGTCGGTTTCAGTGAGCGCTGAATACTGAAAGGTTGATATATGAATATTGAAATGTAAGAAGGTCTCCTAATAAAAAACTTAATTGGAATAGGGGTAGATGCCTCTATCATGACTGGAACCAATAATGGTGTACGCGTACCTAATTAAATTCTAGTCAGATGTGTTTGCCACTGATGCACTCCTTCACACTGTTTCACATGTGTCAGAGCAAACGTTACCGCGAAATATAGAGTTTATCATTAGATAAACTTATAATTAGTTCCCACATTCACCCAAGCGCTGTGATGAGTACAAAGATATATATGAGACAGTAAATTGTGGCGAGAATACTTTAAAAATATTGCGCACTTGTGATACTCTTTGGCTGTCCGTTGAAGAAACTTTGACCAGGAGGCCGTCTCGATTTTATATGTTGTGTTTATGGTAATTATTTCCACAACTAAAATAGTATTTTTATTACATACCATGTGATTTGATTTTAAATAATTTGGTGAATTCTAGGGATTTTTTTTAAGTAAAAATATAGGCGCGTAGCCGACGGGCTCCGGTTGCATCCTCTCTCGCTCCGCTTGCGCCGACAGCCGCCATTTTGATCATAGATAATATATTATATAGGGTAATTTTGATAGTAACGTTTAAACGTAACAGGTGTAAAGAGCACACGCTGAGCTCCGAGCGCATCTGCTTTAACAGTGGTCTTGCAGCTGTTCTATGTGAAACGGCTTAGTCGGCTCCGGCCAGCTCCAAGCGTATAATCCGCGGCGGTCTATGTGAAAAGAAGAACACAGTCCGATGTTCTCCGAGCCGGTCAGTGTGAACGGACACTTACCATCTCTACGCTTCTCGTACATAAAACGGAACGATGTTTTCGTTCTGTAGCAACGTTCGTTTTGTATTACTTACGAGGTAGACTAAATTGTGCTTACCTACCGTAAGTAACAGTGCACCATATTATTATAATCGAACAGTAAGCAGTCAATGTAAAAGTTACAAATGCTAGTGATAGCGTTCACTTTCAAATACATATCAGCACGAAGTACCCGGGCAAACTCGGATTCATCCCTACCGGCGCTAATTAGATTGTTAATTGAAACTTTAAGTGATTATTTACT